ATGGAGAGGAGTAGCGGCTGAGGACTCTAGATTCATCAACTAAGAAGAGAAGGACTAAGAGCTGGTAGCCAGGAGCAGACTTACAGAATGTGCCCTTTGGAGATGTAAATTATTATATATGCCTGAGTGGGTTTTTTTGTTTGTGTGTTTTTTAAAAAAGCTAAAGTAGATAGAAATACTTTTAACTAATGGTATATAGAGGGGATTATAATCAATGTAGTGAAACAAGTTATATGAATTGTTGAATGTGAAACTGATGATGTGCCCTGTAAACTTTCACTAAATCCACAATAAAATCCTTAAATCAAAAAAAAAAAAAAATACACTACATACTTTTGTTTTTTTTAAGGTTTTTATTGTGGATTCAGGGAAAGTTTATAGGGCAGATCATCAGTTTTACATTCAACAAATCATATACCTTGTTTCATTACAATGATTATAACCCCTTCCATGTACCATCAGTTAACAGTATTTCTTTCTATCCACTTAAGCTTTTAAAAAAAAAACAAAAAACCACTCAGTCATATATAATAATTTACATCTCCAAAGGGTATATTTTGCGAGTTTGCCTCCTGGCCAACAGCTCTTAGTCTCTCTCTTCCCATAAATCTAGAGTCCTCAGCTGCTCCCCCCCTCTCCATGACTTCATCTCTTCCCTCTGTCTCTGATGTTGCTGCTTCTCTGGATAAGATCCTGCATTCTGCTTCTGTGTGTCTCCCTTGATGGTCCTAGGGTCCTCTGTTTCTCCCCTGTTTTTGTTACAAAACTTCTCCCTTTATAATTGTGACAGTCGCAGTTAGTCATGATAACAATTATTCACTATTGAATCAAAAGAATCTTATCCCCATCTATTTCGCCAGACCCATCTAGACAAGATGAAATCTATTCAGTGGGGACTCTTTCTTTCCCCCTCTTAAATTAAACTCCCTCTTGAAACCTTGTAAGCCAGTCACTTCATGCCTTTATCACCCCCTCATTTTAGGTAGCCAATGTCTTAAGTTGCCCGTCCCTATCTACCCTGTGTATAGAAGGGCTAGCATTGATACTTGATGTGAAGACTCCTTCCCTCTCTGTTGGTATTGAGAGTAACCACCTCTCTGAGTATAGGTCAAGTTCATCAAATTGCAGCAATTTACCCTTGTTTCCTTTATCCAAAAAAATAATCATTCTCTAGTTGAGTTCTGATTATCAAGTCTCAAGTCATTGAGGGTAGCTAGGTAAAATGGGTACTGTCTGCAAGTTTGGGTGTTCTTGTGCATCTCCCTCACTTCATATCAGTTGGATGCTTCGCTCTCAGCTCTAGCCCTTTGTGGCTACGCCCTTGTCCATGGGCCCAAGTGTCTCCAGGTCTCACCACACTTTGGATCAACCAGCTCTTCCTCTTGTCTCTCTCATCTCCAGGTCAACAGGAGTCAATCGACTTTGGTTGAACTCAGCCCATTTCTTCATTTCCGCCTCTACCACTCACAAGTAGACCAGTGTGGTCTCCAACAAGCTTACATGCTTGTTTGTGTGTTTCCTTTTGAGTTTCAGTCTTAGAGGGGAGTTTGTCCTGAAGGAACTTGATTGCTTGCCATGATGGCTTCCTGGCGAACAGCTTGCTTATTCTTATAGTAGCCAGTCATGCTGACATTTTTGTTATGGGTTTTTCCTGATGATCTTTCCTTGAAGCTGTATCTTCTATCACGGTAGCTATTCCAGGCTGGTCTGCTTGTCCTTGCTAGTGGGAATGTCCCACCTCAGAAGGTTCTGGATGGGGTTCAGGATTCCACCTAAGCTTCTATACTCTGCAAAGGCTTTGCAAGAGGCCTAATTCACTGGGAAAATTCTAGAACCCCTTTTAGTATTCCAGTCAGTTATAGGCTGAAGACGGGCTTATAAGTTTTCTATAATCATGTTTCCCAACATTCCTTTCTGTCCCACTCAAGTGTCTATTTTACAATAGTAGGCAAGGGAAATCAATATTCATAAGAGAGTCAAGCATCTTAGAATGATTTCCCCTCTTCAAGTTATACTTAGATCCCTGAATCCCAGAGCCCTGTTGTTTCAAGGTTGAGCATGCATCAGTATTTACCTCTGTCCCATTTAGGCCATGCAAACCTGTCTCAGTGTTCCCCTAGCTATCTTGTTCTTCCGTCTCCGACCCCTTCTTGTATTGCCCTCGCCAACACCCAAACTAAACCCCCATCCCCAACCCATTTTTTGTTGTTACCGTATATTCCATTAATTCTTCCCTCCATTTAAGACAGTCTATTTTATCCTGTAATCTACCTGACCTTCCCACCACCTGGATATGTTCCTCTCTGTTTACCTTCTTTCACTTTGTAATTGTTTTGATCATAGACTGACCTCCCAGATCTTCTGTTCTTATCATTTTATTCTGTTCTTGACTCATCCATTTGTCGATTGAGTTCAGGGTGATGCTGCCACATTCGTCGTTCTCTATTCGTTGTTTGATCTTGTTGGTTCTCAGTCCACAGAACTTCCTTTAGGATGTTTTTCATAGCAGGGTTGGCTTTGGCAAAATCCCTTAGCTTCTGTTTATCCTGGAATGTTTTGATTACACCATCGTATTTGATAGACAGCTTTGCTGGGTAGAGGATTCTTGGGTGGCAGTTTTTTTCTTTCAGGGTTTTATACATGTCTCCCCATTGCCTTCTTGCCTGCATGGTTTCTGTTGAGAGATCCGAGTTTAATCTGATTTGCTTGCCTTTGTATGTTACGCTTGCTTCTTTTTTCCACTAGCTGCTTTCAGGATGCTGTCCTTATCTTTTGATTTTGGAGAGTTTGATTATTATATGTCTTGGTGATTGTCTTTTAGGGTCTATCCTTCCTGGGGTTCGTTGAGCTTCTTGAAGCTTATCTGTTCACTTTTCATGATGTTAGGAAAATTTTCTTCCAGAAGCTCTTCATCCTATCTCCTCTGTGGACTTGTGTGATTGTTCCTGTTCTGGAATGCCAATAATTCATAAGTTATTCTCTTCATGTTGTCCAACATGAGTCTTAGGCCTTCATATTTTTTTTATCCTTTTTTGCATTTGCTCTTCTATCTTAGTAGTGTTAAGAGATTTATCTTCTAGCTCACTAGTTTTGGCTTCTATCTCTTCAATTCTAATCCTTTGCCCTTTCAGTGTATTATCCATTTCTGATATTCTATTATTTATCATTTGGACCTCTTTCTGTAGGTTTTGAATTGTTTCCAATGCTGTATCTATTTTATTTGATTGTTCCTGTAGCACTTTCCTGACTTCCTTCTTATTTTTCTCAACTCCATTGTATAGTGTTTTGATATATTTTATAATCATTTTTCTGAATTCCTTCTCAGGCATTTCCAAAGCCTGCCCATCATCCAGTATGGAGTGTAGGTCTACTTCCAGCACATTTGCCTCAGTCACTTTATCTCATTTCTGGACATGTGCTGACAAGCCATAGCCATCTGCTTCTGTTTTTTTGGGGATATTCAGGAGTTATCTGTGTCCTTAATGCTTAGATGGGTGTGTGTTTTTATTATTTTTTATGTTTTCTGATTGCCTCCAGGTAGATGTGATGAGGAGATGGGCTTCCCTTTTCAGTCTTCTTCCTGAGAAATTTCAAGATGCCACTGTTGGTCTTTGAGATGTAACTCAGGAATTAATTTTGGGCCTATTTCATTTTTGGTCTGCCTGTCCCACTCCACAATCCCCGTTCAGGCCTTTTCCCAGTGATAAACAGTTCAGGGCCAGCTGTGGCTATTTGGTTTTAAGTGGAAACTGTCATTTTAAATTTTGAGGAGATCTGTGCACATGCATAGTAGACCCCTCCAGGTGTGGGAATGCCGGGTCCATTTGCTCAGGTGCCCCCTCTAGTCACCAAAATGGAGGTGTGCAGACAGCAAGAGACCAATGAATAGACACCAAAATAAAAGAATGTCCACACCTATTATCTCCATGGTTCTGTCAGGAGTCTGTGGTTGCTGTGATCCTTCCCTCACTTGGTCTTGCCCAAGATGGTGGCTTCAGGATCAGCTGAGCATCTTGAATTAGAAAGCAATGGATTTCTTGTTTCTGCTACAAATTCCCCTAGCTGTAAGTCTTCCAACCTTCTAAATATTCCTTTATATGTGATTCAGAATTCTGGCACTATCACCTGAGCCTGCTTCTTCCAGTATCCTGTGTTGTTGGTGACAGAGCTCCTTACTGCACTTCCACCCGATCCACCATCTTGTTTGTTCTCCCTACACTGCATACTTATGAAGTCTTTTAGAATTAGCCAGATGTTCTTTTAAATGTTTAAGATGACCATGTAACTAAAGACTAAAATAAAATACTTATATTCAGAATAAAATTCTTTAAAATCTATCATTCTTTTGGGCTTTTAAGTGTACTCATATTTCTGCATATATTATTTCTCAAATGCTATTTTTATAGTGAATCCAGGAATTATAGATTAGATCATTCAAATTCAGTGTTTGAAACTTGTATCTGTGAGCATATCATGGAATCTTAGAAGGCTCATAATGGAGTCCTAGGGTACAGAATAATGCACTGAACCACATGATTGGTTTGAACTGCAGGGTTGGTCATTCAAACTCACTAGCTGCTCTTTGGAAACCCTACAGAGGGTCTTTATGAGTCGGAACTGACTAAACGGCACTTAACAACATACTCCTAATAATTATCATTATTTATAATTATCATTTTAGATTAATTTCTTGGACTGGAAGAAAGATTGATCCTGTAGGCGTTGATTATATTCTTCAAAAACTGGGCTTTCACCATGCAAGGACTACTATCCCTAAATGGCTTCAGAGAGGAGTCATGGATCCACTGGACAAAGTTCTGTCAGTTCTTATCAAAAAACTTGGTACTGCCCTACAGGATGAAAAGGAAAAGAAAGGAAAAGACAAAGAAGAACACTAAAAAAAACTTAATCCGTGAACAAATTATGATTGTATCTGTTAAGCTTATTAACACTGGAGATTTTTTTAATGTAACAAAATTATTTTAAATATAACTTTAAAATAATTCTAATTTTGTGGCCATTATATTAAAAGTTTATCTTACCCTGTTTATTCCAATTCTACCATTCTGTATACAGTGAAGTATTGCATGATAAATGTACATTTGTGAAAGAACAGGTTATGTAAATCTCATTAAGGTTGATAATTGTATTATGTGCAATATTATTCCTGCATTTTTACAATATTTGCAGAATAACTGTGAATTTTCTTTGTTACTGGCCATAACTTTTAGGAAAAAATCTTATTGATAATGTGATTTTTTTTTTATCATTAAACTTTCTTTTTGTAATGTAGTACTGTATAAATACTTATTTATGTATAGTTTGAGTAAATGAAATGTGATTACATACTACTAAAATATTATTTGTAACTATTGTAATAAAAAGTCAAAATAATTGGCTTCAGTCTGTAGTGGTTTTACTTATGTCCCCTGTGGTAGACCTTTGGTAGCTTTATTTCATAAATAATAGGTATGTCAGTTACTGAATACTTATAAAAGTCACAGCTTATAAAGAATGTGATAGGAGACACAAACACACCAGCAGTTTCAGAAGTATTAGGCATTCCATTATTTAGCCTAGTAGCATATGAACAACTGTTCATTTTTATTTTCATACTATATTACTTACATATTTGTTTGCATTTTCGTACATATGAAATATATAATAAAAGAATACCAAAATATAAGTTGCATTCAGAGGTAGCTATAATACTGTTAATAGCAATTTAGGTTTGAAATTTATTTTTTAGGTTTGTTTTTTGTTTGTGTTTTACTTTTTACTGTGAATTTAGTGAATGTTCACAGAACAGATCATCAGTACTATATTCAACAAATTATACGCTTCATGTCATTACAATGATTGCAGTCTACTCCATGCACCATCAGTTAACAATATTTACCTCTATTCATTTTTTTCCTTCCCCCACCCTCACCTACCCTGTAACCATCACAGAATGTTATTGTCATACTATATTCCTTACATACTTATATATTTTTTCATGCATATGAAATATATAATAAAAATCATTAAAATAATAACAAAATATAAAATAATGTTCAAAGGTATCTATAATAATGTTAATACCAATTTAGGTTTGAAATTTAGCCAAGTCAGTAGTCAGTTCAGTTTAAAGAAATAGAATAGAAGAAAACCGCTACAAATATCTCAAGAAAGCCTATGGTATGCACCCCTGGAGGTTTACATAAGAGATAACCAAGATCAAAAACAGCTGAGATACTAATAAAGATATGTACCCAGAAAGTGTTAGCAGCAATTATTGCTTCCTGAAGTCAGGCAGCAACTAAAATCGTACTGTAAAGAGTTCTGCTTTGATATTCTTTCTGATAGACCATCTTTCTGTCATCTACCTGATCTTAGTTCCTCTACTGCTCAAGCTTACCAGAATGGCAAATTGTACACCTTAGAGTATCCTAAGATATTACTTACAGAAAGTTACTTCACAAAACAAAAGTAACTAAAAATGAATTATAGAAATTAGGTTCCTATTTGAGTCCCATTTTGATTCTTTCTGCTTCAAAGAAATAGTGCACCAATAGGTTAAAAATGTACCATCCAATGGCTTTCAATATTATTAGTAATATATGAGATTACAAAAAAAAGGGGGCATAAGTACAAACTTGCCCTATTTCTGACACTGATAATGCTATAAAATTAAAATAGCAATTTAAATCTAACCAAAATTCTATGGTTTTATTTGGCAAAGCTTTGGGAAAACAAGTGCATCCATACGTTGCTGGTGGGAAGAGCAGACATGTGAGCACTGTCGAAAAGGTGAGAAATGCCCGGGACTACCAATAAAGAAGAAATTAAGGCCAATACTCTGATTTGGACTTTCAGCCTCCTGAATTAGGAGACAAAAAATTCTGATCTTTCAAACCACATATTTGTAATAATTCTATCACAGCAGTTCTAGGAAACTAAGACAAATGTATATTTTTAAAAGATTCTTTTCAAAGTAGTATCAAATGTGGTTTACTGGTGGGCTCAGAGGACATGAGTGGCTAGCAGGAAGACCTAAAAAGTCTGCATGAAGGAAGAACAGTTGCTTGGACTATAATGGCAGCAGTGGAAGTGCTTAGAAAGGTATTTTCAGAAAATGTAGAGGTAGAGTCAAAAGAACTAATTGATGCAGTGGGAGTTGGAGAAAACAAATGTCAAGGATAATTCCTGGGCATGGTCTCAGAAATTGCATAAATTCAATTTGATATTAAAACAGAAGCCCCACACCAAGGAATTGGCTAGCAGGAAATGCCACTGGAATTAAGCCCACCACCACCACACTGGCCTGATGCACTTGGTCACAACCTTACACTCTTGGCCTTGCTCATAGGTTTTTTGTTGTTGTTGTTTCGTTTTTAAATTTTTATTGTGAGGTTTACATGGGAGAACATCAGCTTTACACTCATTGTATCGTATTTTATTTCATTGCAATGATTACATTCCCTTCTGTGCATCATCAAATAACCCCAAAGGGCACACCACACAGGCCACCAGCTCTGTGGCCACCAGCACACAGCCCCTCTCCCTCCCTGAGTCCAGTGTCCCCAGCCACTCCATCTGTCCACATCATCTCTGTCTATCTCTGGCATCACTGCCTCTCTGGGTAGGGTCCCGCTTTCTGTTCTCATTGATGGTCCCAGGGACCTCCTCTCCTGGGCTGCAAAATCAATCACTCTCCTCCTTTTGTCAAAAAGATTTTGCTCATAGGTTTTTGGCTTGAGTAATTAGGTTAATGATGGTATATACTGAAATGAGGACTTCACTACTACAGATAAAAGGGCTTCAAAAAGTTCATGGAAAAGTGGAATTTTATATATATCCCATTATCTTTTAATTATATTTTTCTGTGAACTTTTAAAGTCCATTATACAATTTCCTAGTTTTCCATGCCACATAATAAGGAAGCCATCATCAAGTATAAAGAACGAAAACACTGTATAGTTCAGCACTGGCCAAAATGCCACGCAAGCCTTATAGTTTGGATCATCCGATGTTTAGTTAAATTTCTATTGATATAAAAGAAATATATACACTATGCATTTAATCCTTTGTTAATAGATAGAGCAAACCTGAGACAGTTTACTAGAAGTGCTACATAGCAACGTGCAGTACAATCTTGAAATACAGAGTTAAAAAGAAATGCCTGAAATACTCAACTTTTTTTACGTTCGAATTCTTTGAGAATTGTTAACTACATTATATAGATCATCTGTCCAGGTACCTGAAAAAAATACACCCCAAATCAAAATACTACCACTCTTCTGTTCCATTTTTGACATACTGTGGTGGCATGGGTGTTGCTGTGATTCTGGAACCTATGCCACTGGTATATTAAATACCAGCAGGGTCACCAACTGTGGACAGATGCAACTGAGCTTCCAAATTAAATTAGACTAGGAAGAAAGAGAGGCAGACTATTTCTGAGGGTTTAGACCCTGAAAACCTCATCATAGCAGTGGAACTCTGTCAGATACCTAGAATATTGAATATTGAAACATGATGAACAGCAGAATAGTGTCAGATACAGTGCCAGAAAATGAGCCCCTCAGAAGGTACTAGGAAAGTGACTGGAAAAGACCTACCACTTCAAAGTGGAGTTGACACTGATGATGTAAATGAAGTAAAGCTTTTAGGACTATCATTGGCTGATGGGGGGAAACTCAAAATGAGGAGAAACATCTATAAAAATCCATTAATAATCAGAACATAGAATGTACGAAGTATGAATCTAAGAAAATTGGAGATTTTAAGAAAAGTAAATGGAATGCATAAACATTGATTTCCTAGGCATTAGGTAGCTGAATAAGGAGCTCTAGTAGCGTAGTGGTTACGAATCAGGCTGCTAACCACAAGGTCAGCAGTTCGAAACTACCAGCTGCTCTGCAGAAGACAGATGAGGCTTTCTGCTCCTGTAAAGATTTACAGCCTCAGAAACCCTGTTCAGGGTCACTATGGGTCAGAACTGACTCGATGGCATTTAACAACAACAGGGAGCTGAAATAACTGGTATTGGCCATTGTGAATCTGACAATCACATGTTTTACCACACCAGGAATAACGAAGAAAAATGACATTGCATCCATTATCAAAAAGAACATATCAAGATATGTCTTAAAGTACAACACTGTCGGTAATAGGATCACATCCATATGCTACAAAGAAGACCAGTTAATATCACTATTATTCAAATATATACACCAACCACTAAAGCCAGTGATGATGATGAAACTGAAGAATTTTACCAGCTTCTTCAGTTTGAAATTCATCAAACATGAAATCAAGATGTATTCATAATTACTGGAGATTGGAATGCAAAGGTTGGAAACAGGAAGGATTGATAGTTGATAAATATGATCTTGGTGATAGAAATTATTCTGGAGATTGCATGATAGAATTTTGCAAGATCAATGAGTTCTTAATTTCAAATATCTTTTTTAAACAACATGAAAGATGACTATACATACAGACCTCACCAGATGGAATACACAGAAATAAAATTGACTACATTTGTGGAAAGAAACAGTGGAAAAGTTCTATATCATCAGTCAAAACAAGGCCAGTGGCAGACTGTGGACCAGACCATCAATTGCTCTTATGCAAATTTAAACTGAAGCTGAAGAAAATGAAAACAAGACCACAAAAGCCAAAATACAGCTTTGAAAATACTCCACTTAACTTAGAGATTACCTGAAGAACAGATTTGATGCATTAGACACTAAAGACCTAAGACCAGAAGAGTTGTGGGATGACATCAAGAACATCATAAAGGCAAAAAGCAAAAAGTCATTGAGAAGACAAGAAGGAAAAGGTCAAAATGGATGTCAGAAGAGACACTGAAACTTGCTCTCCAGCGTAGAGATGCTAAAGCAAATGGAAGAAATGAACAGGTACAAGAGCTGAACAGAAAATTTCAAAGATCAACTCAAGAAGATAAAGCCAAATATTACAACAAAATGTGCAAAGATCTGGAATTAGAAAACCAAAAAGAAAGAACATGCTCAGCATTTCTCAAGCTGGAGGAACTGAACAAAAAATTCAAGCCTCGACTTTCGCTACTGAAAGATTCTCTGGGCAAATTACTGAATGATGCAGAAAGCATCAAGAGAAGATGGAAGGAATACACAGAGTCACTGTACCAGAAGGAAATGGTTCATGTTCAACTGTTTCAAGAGTTAGCATATATATGCTCAAGAGCCAATGATACTTAGGGAGGAAGTCCAAGGTGCATTGAAGGAATTGGCAAAGAACAAGGCACCAGGAATTGATGGAATAAAAACGGAAATCTTTCAAGAAAGTGAGGTGGCACAGAAGGCACTCACTCATCTTTGCCAAGAAATTTGGAAGACAACTATCTGGCCCACTGATTGGAAGAGA